GGGGGGGGGGGTGCTTTCTGGGGGAGGGGGGAGGCTGGGCGTGATTAGCTGCAGGGGAGGAAACCCTAAAAGTTGCCTGAGAACTTGCAGAGGTCGGGGGGAGGGGGTGTCTGGGGGGAGCAACCCCCATTAGAGAGGCAATGACAGAAGGAAGGAAGGAAGGAAGAAAGGAAAGAAAGAAAGAAAGAAAGAAAGAAAGAAAGAAAGAAAGAAAGAAAGAAAGAAAATGTAAGGAGAAGGAGAGGAAGAAAGAAGGAAAGAAAGAAAGAGAGAAGAAGGAAAGAAAGAAAGAGTCAGAAAGAAAGATGGAAGGAGAGGGAGAGGGAGAAAGAAAGAAGGAAGGAAAGAAAGACAGGAAGAAAAAAAGATGGAAGGAGAGGGAGAAAGAAAGAAAGTAGGAAGGAAGGAAAGAAAGAAAGACAGAAAGTAAGATGGAAGGAGAGGGAAAGGGAGAAAGAAGGAAGGAAGGAAGAAGGCAGGAGAGAAGGAGAGAGGAAGGAAGAAGGAAGGAAGGAAAGAGAAAGGAAGGAAGGAAGGAAGGAAGGAAGGAAGGAAGGAAGGAAGGAAGGAAGGAAGGAAAAGAGAAGGGGGCATCCCTTGCAGTGGCCTAAGGGTACCTGCCCTGCTTCAATGGTGTTACATAACTTACATAACTTCATGGTGTTACAACAACAAATTGTAATATCCACTTTGTGCCTCTCCGGAGACTGGAATATTTTATTTCTTCCCCAATAGCATGCAAACAAGACCTGGAGAAGCTGTTTGGTTCTGTTTTGGTTTTTTTTTTGGGGGGGGAGCCTGTAATACTGGACCTCCCCCCCCCCCCCCAAAAAAGGGGAGGAATTAACAACTGTCTCGTGCTTTTTTTAAAAAAAAATTTCTTCCAGTGCCCCTCGGAAAACAACCAGCCAGCCAACCAAGAAAACATCCACTTCACACACACACCCACACACACCCTCGGGGCAACCAAGTTTCCAAAATAAGCGGTGTGTGTGTGTGTGTGTGTGTGTGTGTGTGTGTGTGTGCAATCTTCAGCCGCGAACGTCAGAGGAGGCCGCGTGGTTTGGCGAGCTGGGTCCAACCTTCCCCCCGCCTGCCCCCATCGTCCCGATCCGGAAATGACCAAGGATGGAAAAAAAAAAATTAAAAAGTGCTGGTGGTTTAATAAATGACAAACCGTTTGACACATTTTGCCTTGCTTGGGCAGCCTGCAAAAACTCTGTAAGGAAAAAGCCTCGCACGGATGACACGACAGCACCCCCCCCAAAAAAAAGCCCCGCCCGGCGCCTGCTTTCCTGGCAGCCTTCAAAGAAAGAGGCGGGACCTTGTGGCTGCCCCAGAGAGAGGAGGGGGGCAGGGGGGGAGGGCAGCTCCAGACCACGATCACACCTGGCATCAAAGCTGGCTAGTCCTCCAGGGTTTGCCCTAAAGCAAGGATCTCCCTATGTGGTGACTTTAAGACTGGGGGACTTCAGCTCCCACAATTCCCGAGCCCGCTGGCTCGGGAATCATGGGAGTTGAAGTCCACCAGTTGTTGCTGGCCGGGGACTTCTGGGAGTTGAAGTCCACCTGTTGTTGCTGGCTAGGGACTTCTGGGAGTTGAAGTCCACCGGTTGTTGCTGGCTAGGGACTTCTGGGAGTGGAAGTCCACCGGTTGTTGCTGGCTAGGGACTTCTGGGAGTTGAAGTCCACCGGTTGTTGCTGGCTGGGGACTTCTGGGAGCTGAAGTCCACCGGTTGTTCCTGGCTGGGGACTTCTGGGAGTTGAAGTCCACCGGTTGTTGCTGGCTAGGGACTTCTGGGAGCTGAAGTCCACCGGTTGTTGCTGGCTGGGGACTTCTGGGAGCTGAAGTCCACCGGTTGTTGCTGGCTGGGGACTTCTGGGAGCTGAAGTCCACCGGTTGTTGCTGGCCGGGGACTTCTGGGAGCTGAAGTCCACAAATCTGAAAGTTGCTAAGGTTGGCGACCCTTGCAAACCAGGCAAGATACAAGAGACTTGCAAACTTTGCAAACCGGGCAGTCAACCACGCAAGGAGGGTTCCTCCAGGGTCTCAGGTGGGCCTTGAGGGCCTCCAGGACGCTAGGAAACGGTGCCCAGAAGGAGGACACCTGTGTTTTGAAGAAGACAATCCATTTGCTGTGGGGAAAGGGAAGGAATTCTAATCCTCGGATCAGGGTCACCGAAATTCGTGGTGGGGAGGGAGGGGGGAGAAGAGGAAGAGCGGTCCTCTCCGACCCCCAGGGTGAAGAAGTTGCTTCCCACCAGGCTTCAAGAGGAGGCGTCTTCCTCCTCCTCCTCCTCCTCCCCCTCCTCAACCTGCCTCTCACCAGAACATCTGCATGACATAAACAACTGCAAATATTTCCATAGGAAACGCAGATGTTCCTGGGAATTTCAGTTTGGCTGTAAATGCTGCATTGGAAGCTAGCAAAAAAAAAACAAAAAAAAAAAGGAACAAGCCAGACCTTGAATCGGCTGAGGGGGGGGGGGAGGACCAGGGAGGGGAAAGAAAATTTCCCTTGCCTGGCTGAGTCCGGCCTCTTTTTGGGGGCTCCTCCACCGGCTGCCTTTGGGGCTGGGGGCTCCAGAGATGCTGCTGCTGGAGGCAGGCAGAGCTCCTGCTTCCAGACCTTAAAACTTCCTAGCTCAGATCCCGGAGAACCCCAAGGCCCCAAACAGAAGGAAAACCAAACCCCAAACGAACAAACTTTGCTAGACTTGAGTGGCGCAATCAAGTAGCATTTAAAGCCGCCCTTCGCCGGAAGAAAATGCCTCGAACGAACGTGGGAGACGAAGCTGGCGAGAGAGAGACCTTCCTCTTTTCCTCGTCTCTCCAGGAAAATGTGCTAACTCAGATTCGGTGGCGAGAGGAGGGGGACGTTTCCGGGCTCTGCTCTGGAACGTGACCGACCCATCAATGCACTTTTATCCATCGTCTGCCCAGGCTCTGCGCGTTCCTCTCTTTGCAAGGCACTTCCAGAGAAATGCAAAATGAACCGGGGGTTCTTTCCCAGGAAAGACGAGGCCCAAATTCCCCAGCTAAAATATCAGTATAATGAAAGTTTTGTAAAACAAAAAATTGTCAGCTTAGGCAGAGGTCCCCAAACTCGGCCACTTTAAAGACTGGTGGGCTTCAACTCCCAGGATTCTCCAGCCAGGATAGTTTAGCTCTCTCGTGATCCCTTCCTCTGCAATCTCTCTCCGCTTTAGGAGATTAAGAGAGAGAGGGAAAAAGCAGGCGTGGCTGGCAGGGGAATTCTGGGAGTTGAAGTCCACAAAATCTTAAAGTGGCCAAGTTTGGGGACCTCTGATCTTAGGGATGGGGGAAAAAAAAGAATAACAATCGGGGGCAAGTCCTCGAGGGGAAGGAAAGCATCATTCGGATATAAATAAAATGAATAAATACGAGAGTAAAGGAATAAAGGCCGGATAAAATCTAATCAATAAACGATCAAACTTGCGCTTTGAGGCTTCAGCGTTTGGGAAGGGTGGACGGCCGGGCTAAGAGACGGTGGGCAACCCCCAAGCCCGGAGTGCCGTTTTCTGCCAAGCCTCCGCCAGCTACAGCTGAATCCCCCATTCACGGCCTGCCTGGAGGAATGAATGGATTTCTGTTCCCATCGCAAGAGCTTTGGAAGAGGTGGGTGAAGCAGAGGCCGCCTTCCAAAAATAAAAATAAAAAAAAAATCCATTTCCACCATCAATTTTCTCTCTAACTGGTTTTGACCTTCCTGGGCTGGTCAAAATCAGAAGGCAAGAGAGGCAAAGTTCCATATTTTTGTTATTTGCTTGGGAAAAACCCAGATTTTTTTTCAGCTTTTCGGCTGATGTCCTAGACAGAGGAGGCATCTAAGAAGCATCCTGGCTTCTGGCCTTCGGGGCCTCGGCTCACCAGGGGAGGGGGAGGACAGGGAAGGACATCTTGCAATCACACCCTGTCCCACCAAAATTGGGATGGGAACCTGCAGGAACCCTTGGAAGATCCTGCCCACCATGAATGACCCCAAGGCAACTGTTGGGGGCATCAGACTTCCAAGTGATCTGGGTGTCCACCCTGGCAAAAGCGGCTAAGGAAGCAGAATTGGGGGACAATAAATTAAAAAAAATAAAATATACACTTCCAGCCATGATATCCAACTAAAGTACTGATCTCCAAACAAGGAAGAGACGAAAGGAAAAACAAACTGAAAGAACAAGTTGTGAAACCAGGAGCTTTTTAAAAGATCTCGGATGCGTTAAAGCAAGCCTTTTAAAGCAGATGGGTCCATTGGTTCCATGTAGAGGCCCTGAAGAGTTGAGACCATCCAGAAGATCTATTACACACACACACACACACACACACACACAACCCCCGTTAAATCTCCAAAGAGCAAAGACTCTGAGATAAAAGAGACAGCACTGAGGAAACGCGAACAAGGGGGAAATCGTCCGTCTCGTTCTAGAGATCCCAAATCCCACCGTTAGATCTAAACACGAAGACGCCGGTCACCCCAGCATTCATTCCTGAGACCGATTGCCCAAAGGATCACGACTGAACTTGGAGGCCCCGTTTGGCCCATAACTACCAACACGACTTCGCTCGATTTCTCCAAGCGGCGTTTAAAAAGCGTTGAAGCTTCTCACTGAAGCCTCCTTTTTGGGGGTCAGCAAGATTTCCAGGCACGTCATGGACCTCCTGAACGAAGCGGTTACTTATTGGGTGTGTCTCCCTCACAGATGTTGAGGAAAGAGAGGGATCATGCTGCAGCGAGGAGGAGGGGGACTTGCAAGAAGAGAGAGCGCTTACCTTGGGGGGGTCCAATAGCGCCAAGGTGTAATTCTGGCGGTCGGGAGGCCCTTCCTTGTATAAAACCAGCCGGCATTTCTGCCAGCGGGTTCCACTGTCCTCCGTCACCATCATATACTTCAGGATCCCTTCTTTCTGGATCTGCAAGGCGCAGTCTCTGGAAATGGCCCACGGGAAGATCTTCCGGGCCAAGCCGGATCTCAGAACCAAGTCCGCCATCTCCCCTTCGCCAGGGCCCGGCTCTGAGGATCTCCGTCGGAACAAGCTCCGCCAGCTCCGCCGTAGCCGGTCCAGAGAAAAGGGCCTCCTGACGGCCAACGGAGAGGCCGGTGCCGCCAGTTCTTCAGAACTCCAAGACTTGGGAAGTCCACCGGAGCGGACCTCAGAGACCCGGTTGACCGGGTCCAACAATTCCACCTCGGCCTTGGTCCCAACCGTGACCGGGGACCCCTCCGCATGTTTCTGGCCCGTCTCCCGGTAGTCCCGCACTCTGCTGAAGGGCAGGATGCGGAGCTGCTCCGTACCGTACGTGTCCTTCACCTCGTGGCGGAAGTATTGCTGGAAGAGGTCAGCAAACTGAAGGGAGAAGTTCTCCACCGCCAAGACTTCGTGCTGGGGGTTCTCGCTGACGAAGTGGAGGTACTCCCTGGCCAGTTCTCGGGCAGTGGCGATGGCGTGCTGCTTACAGAACTCGTTCCACCCGCCAGGGTGCCCGGAGTCGCCTGACGGGACAGTGTGTCCATTCATGGCCGAGTCTGGAGGTCTCCAGGGGTTCTGCGAAGGAAACGAGGACCAGACAGAGGAAAAGAGGAGAAGAGAAAAGGTGTGAGGATCTTGCGACTGATTCAGGACAAAGAGCAGAGACGGTCAGTCCAGGAAGCTGACCTTGGAGAAGGTCAGTCCAGGGGTCACGTTGGGAAAAGGATAGCCCCTCGAGGAACCCAATGAGCGAGACACCGTCACCCTACGTCTCACGGGCATTCAATGGGGACGTATAACTGGTAGACATATAACCAGTTCAGTAAACAACAATTAATGAAGGAACTACCCAGAACACCCCCACCAGACTGACGGGGCAAGCCACTTGTATACAAACAGAGAGCAAACCCCTCTCTCTTCTAGCACTGATGATGTTACCTAGTATGGTCATGAAACGTCTGCAAGACGCTCACCAAGCTCAGAGAGCTCCCTAGACTCCATGGTTCAACCTCGAGCTACAAAGAGTCTACAACGAGTCTAACTGGTTAGCTCCGCAGACCATTCTTGGATGTGTAGCGGGGTCCTCCTCTCCTCGACCCAACTTGACCAACGCACATAAGCCATCTCAAGGACCTTTAGCAAGATCTCCAAAAGCCGGTTCCTGCCCATGGGGGTAAGGGGCCCAAGGAGGGGCCAGGCTCACCTATGGGCCCTGAACTCCTGCAGCAGGCAGGTACAACGTTCTTCAGACATGACCTAACAGGTCCTGGGGAAGAGAGAGTGAGCAAGGAGGGAGATGCCCGTCGGCTTTCCCAGGCAGCCGCCATGCCGCTGAGAGGCGGAAGGACAAGCGGGAAGGCAAAACAGAAAGGAAGCCGCCAAACCAGTTTTTGCTAACTTAGCATTTTCTTTTTTGCCAACGGGATCTACTCCAACATCACCCGCTTTGGACCTACGGATGGATTCAACCCGGGTTTCTTCTCAACCTCGACCGCTTGAGGATCAGTGGATTTCAACCCTGGCAGTCTACCTGGCTGGGGAATTCTGGGAACTGAAGTCCGGCCATCTTCAAGGGGCCAAGGTTGAGCAACGTTGATTAAACCGAGAGAAATCTGTGTTCCCATCTCTCCTTGCCACGCTAGATCGGGCGACTCTCCTCGGCTGATCCTCTCTGCCTCACCTAAGCCTCTGGCTTCCCTAAACAGAACAGAACAGCATTTAGAAGGGACTTCAGAGGTCTTCTAGTCCAACCCCCTGCTCAACCAGGAGACACTACGCCGTTCTGGACAAATCTCTTCTTCAAAACCTCCAGACATCACAACTTCTGGAGGCAAAAACCCTTCCATTGGTTGCTCTAACTCTCAAACACAGAATGGAATCCTCTTCCTCTTTGCACACGCCAGATTTAAGCCTGCAAATCGCCCGGTCCTTACTCCAGGACTCATCCTGCATGTCTCAATGGTGGGGGGGCGAAAAAAAAGACCCATTCTACACACCCACTTGCAGAATATTCCACCGCCAGCTTCATCTTCTGAGGACCGTCATGCGTGCAAAAGAAACCCCCCCCCCAAGTGCTGAGGGGGTCTTGTTGGGTGTGCAAAACACCCCACCCAGCCTTGGCTCTTCCAGGGCGTGCAATTTAGGAGCCCGAAACTTTGCAAAGTTCCCAGCCCGGAGGCGGCTCTCAGGCCCTGTCTCTCTCTCTCTCTCTCTCTCTGTCTCTGTCTCTCTCTCTCTCTCCCCCTCCTGCACAACGGCTTGTTTTATCATCAGGCATCACCGCTGAAACAGGAAGCCTCGTTCGGTGTGCCGCCCCACACTGTCGTCCTCGTACAAGCAGGCCCAAGGCCTTCCTCACTCACAAGCGTGGGCCGGTCGGGGAGTCACCTTGAGCAAGTCTTCCCGAGGGCCAGAAGTTTCCCCCCCGCCCACCCACCCAAAAGCAAAACAAAACAAGGGAACCGACATGCGTGCGTGTGTATGTGTGTGTCGCTGTCCCAACCGCTGTGTGGCAGCGCACAGAGTACCTGTTTGCTCCCCTGGAGACTAAGACTTGGAGAAACCGAAGCGCAGGCAGCTTTCGGGGTGTGTGTGTGTGCACACCAACAAGCCCACACCCGCCAACACAGCGCCTTCAGCTTTCTCTTAAGCAAGCCGGGCACATTTGGACATGCCCGAGTGAGATGACAGTCAATAGATTACTCCTCTCTCTCTCTTTCTCCACGCTGCGTTTAGACAGTCCCTGTGTCTCTCTCTGTGTGCAATGTGTGTGTGTGCACGCTTCCTCGCTTGCTCAAAGCCCCCCCTCCCAATCAAAGGCATCTCAGTGACCTACTTTACACGAAGCCCTTACCCCCCCCCCGAGGCTCACAAACCACACGTTGCGCCCTTCCCACAACCAGCACCAGAAGGTGCGAAGAAGCCGAGTTGCTCACGTGTTGCCCCGATGCCAATCTTTCCAGAAATTGGGCCCGCTGATAAGGAGCGCCACTCTGCCCCCCGGGTCAGAAAGAGGGGGCCGCTCTTCAGTTTCACCACCCAGGGAACGATGTCCAGAGCCTCCCCCTCCTCCCAAGGGGGCCCTGAGCCCTGCTGTGACCACTACACCTCTCTCCATTCGAATCCCGAATCCAGGTTTTGCCTTTTGGAGACGGGGGACCAACAGGCCGTTCCCAATTCAGGGGGAAAAAGCCAGAGAATGGCAGGATGTGGGCGTTTCACCCTCTCCTCCTCCGGACGGATGATGCCCCAGACTACAGGGGCCCTGCAGCCCCGCCTGGCTGGCCAGTGGGCAGGGATGAATGGAACTCGTGTCCCCAAAGCTCTGGAAACCGGGGGTCCACCAAGAGCTCCCAGGTCAGCCCATAGGCAGGTACCTGGACAGGCCTAAGAGGGTCCCAGGATGAGCCCACCTCCCTACTTCTAAGAAAAAACGGTTGCAGCAGAAGAGAAAGCAGAAGGGCAGAGGGAGAGAGTTGGAAGGGGCCTCAAAGGTCTTCTAGTCCAACCCCCTTTCCCTGATGAAGCAGGAAAGCCTATCCCGTTTCAGACAAACGGTCGTCCCGTCGCAAAAACCTCCGGTGATGGGAGCACCCACAGCCTCTGGTGGCCGGTTGTTCCACTGGTGAATTGGAGATCTCTCCTTAGTCCCAGGTGGGATTCCATACACACACACACACACACACCCCGGATTATCTCAGAAACCGAGCTCAGCCGGTGGGCTGGAGGGACAGGCTTAACCAGCAGAGACCAAACGGGACATTTATGCACGAGGGGGGGGACCGGGGGGTGGTGGAAGGGAGACAAGACACGGAAGAGCCCTCCCCTCGCAGAAGCCAGCCTCTCCTAATTTGGGGTGGGGGGGGCACTTTACTGGCCAGGCATGGCCACCATCCTTGCAAAAAAAAACAACAAGGGGGGGGGGGAGAAAGGGCCCCAAACCAACCGGAGAGACGCTACAAGGAGCCGAAACTTCATGCCGTGGCGGCAGGTGCCCGAGCTTCTTGCCCCCACGGGGCCCCCAGCTCTCGGTCTATCTGTGTGCCCAGCCTGCCAATGACTCAGCACACCGCGCTTCCTCCCAGACGCAACCCTGGTGACGTCCGGTGGGCCAGGGGTCCCTGGGAAAGCGAGGCGGCGGAGGGGTGGGCAGCGCCCTCCCAGCCTGGCCCCAGCTAGGGCTTCTCCGCGGCCCCTGGCCCCTGCCTCCCGGGGAGGGGCCACCTTGGCGGGGGCTTTGGCCGAGACCCCGAAGGCAAGGGAGAGCAACGAGGAGGACCAAAGGCCGGGAGGCGGAGACGGTCGCAGGGTTTGGGTTTGGCCAGTCTGGAGAGAAGGGGGGCCGGGGGGGGCAGGGGTGGGGGGCACGAGAGCCGCCTTCCAGTGTATTTGAGGGGCTGCCCCAAAGAGGGAGGGGGCTCCACTTATTCTGCAAGGCCCCTGAAGGCGGGACAAGGAGCAACGGATGGGAACTGATCCAGGAGAGAAGCAACCCCCGAATAAAGGAGACAATTCCCTCACAGCGAGGACAATTAACCAGTGGAACAGCCTGCCACCAGAAGCTGTTGCTCAGAAAAGACTGGACAGCCCTGTGTCCAGAAGTGGTACTGGGGAATTGAGCAGGGGGCTGGACTAGACGACCTCCAGAGGTCCCTTCCAGCTCCTGTTCTGATTGAAAACCCACCTGGCTTAACGTGCCCCATTGCTCGAGGGGCTCTGCCTGGCCCCCCGATTCTTGCAAAAGTCTCGCTGGCATTCCCATGCAATGAGCACACACACACACACACACACACACACACACACAGAGAGAGAGAGAGAGAGAGAGAGAGAGAGGGAGGAATGGAAAGCAGAGCTATGCCCATGACGCAGCCCGAAGTTACATAAGTCGGCTCCCCGGTCACAGAGGCAAGGATCTCTGTGGAGTCCGGCAGGCAGACGAGGAGAGAAGCGGCCGCCATGAAGAGCCCAGGTGGGGAAGGGGTCTCGGTGGCTGTGCCTCTTCAGCCTCCCGCCCGGTGCAGGAAGGCACAACAAAGCAGCACAACAAAAATAGAGACTCTCTCCACCCCCCCACCCAGCGGCTCTTGTGTGTGTGTGTGTGTGTGTGTGTGTGTGTGTGTGTGTGCTTTGAAATGCACAATGGCTTCTCCCACCCCCCTTAAACTGGCCCTGTGGGAGGAAGGGCCCTCCCAAACTTCCCCTTGTTATGAAAGGCGCCTGGGCCCCGTGTGAGAGGGGAGTTGCCCCGTCCGCAGGCATGGCCCTGGGTGGGAAGAGGGTGGAGAGAGCAAAGGACTATTCGCACGCACACACACACACGCACGTTCAATGCACCCCGGGCAGCCTCCAACGCCTTGGAAGGGAGCCTGCGTCCCCTCTAGAACAGAAGTCCCTACGCTTGTCAAGTGTGAGACTTGCGTGGACTCCAACTCCCAGAATTCCCCAGCCAGCAACAACTTGTGGAGTCCAACTCCCAGAATTCCCTAGCCAGCAACACATTGCTGGCTGGAGAATTCTGGCCATTGAAGTCCACACAAGTCTTAAAGTGGCCAGAAATGAGCTGTTTGAGGAAAGAGATCGGATCCCAGGACATGGAGCTCCTTGTTGAGCTGGGGGTTGGACTAGAAGACCTCCAGGGTTCCCTTCCAACTCTGACATTTCTCTCTCCCCACGGCTTGGCCTCCTTCAACAGAGTCTCCCCTCTCTGTCCTTCCCCCCCCCCCCCCCCCCCCCCCCCCCCCCCGCCCCCCTTCAACAGGGCCCCCCCCCTCTGCCCCCCCCCCCCCCCCCCCCCCACACCAGGAAAAAGCCGAGCCGAAGGAGAGGCCAGGCCGGGCCTGCAGTGCCAAACCAAAGCCGAATTCGAGAGATTAAGGAAGGGAGCGCCCCCCCCCCCCATCCATTGTGCCTTGTCTTGAACCCGGGTTTGTCTCAGAAACGTCTCCGCTGGAGCAGAGAGAGGTCTAAGCCAGGGATCTCCAACCTTGGCCCCTTTTAAGACCCGAGGACTTCAACTCCCAGAATTCCCCAGCCATAGGATTCTGGGAGTTGAAGTCCACCCGTCTTAAAGTGGCCGAGTTTGGGGACCCCTGTCCTAAACTTCTGCAGGTAGCAACTCCGCCACCCATCTGCCCCTCCCTTCCTGCATGGGATACAACAGGACAGCTTCCCCCCTCCCCCAAGTGCAGGGGTCGTTCTCTTAAATGGGGGGGGGGTTTCTCCAAACTTGGCCCCTTGTGGACTTCAACTCCCAGAATTCCCCAGCCACAGGATCCTGGGAGTTGAAGGCCACAAGTCTTAAAAGTTGACAAGATGGGAGATCCCTCTTTCTAAGTGCCACCCACCCTCCCTCCGAGTCGCCCGGGCATCAAACCAGCTTCTCCTGGCACCAATCCACCACCGCTGCGGGCAAAGCAAGCTTGCAACAACCCAGACTGGGCGCCTGTGCCGCGACAGGCCAGGCCTGGCTGTGAGGAAAGGTGCCCCCACCACCACCACCCCAAGCAAGATTTCTGATAAGCTTCTGAGAAACAGCCGCCTTTTGCCTCACAGCAATCTGGCCAGGATGGGAAGCCAGGATGGTGCCTCTCTCTTTCAGATCTCAGCTTAATCCAAGGTTGTCCCAACTTTGGCCGCTTTACAAAAGTCGTGGGACCTCAACTTCCAGAATTCCCCAGCCCGTGTTTGCTTTCCTGGCCGGGAAGAGGCTTCCGGGCAGCTTTGCTGGCTGGGGAATTCTGGGAAGTGAAGTCCCACATGTCTTAAAGCGGCCATAGTTGCACCCCCCCCCCCCACTTTTTAACTCAAAAGGTTTGGGGAAAAAAACAAAGAAACAAAGCAAATAGCCCCCCGATTTGCAAGCCAGGAGAAAGCCCCATGGGCTTTGTGGTTGCTCCCAACAAGTCTTTGGAGCCTGTGAGTTTGGGGATGCCCCCTCCTGATCAACAGCCCCCCCCACCCCAATTTTTCCCCCACCCCAAAAGCAAATTCCTTTCCTTCCTCACTGATCCCTTCCCTTCCTACTACCCCATTCCCCAAAAAAGGACCCAACCATTAAAACTCTCCCAAGGAATAAAATAATCAACACCTCCCCCCCCATTTTGCATTCTCTCTCCCCCCCCTCAAAAAAAAGAGAGAGAGAGACCCCCGGCCTCCTCCTCCTTGGAAGTCGGGAGCCTCCAGATGTGGGGCAGCTGTTTTGGGAGCCAAGCCTGCTCTCCCCCCCCCCCCCCCCCCCCCGTTGCAAGGCTTCCCCCTTTTGATGGGGGGGGGGGGGGGGAAAACTCCCCGCCCCGGGAGGGGCGCCCCCCTTCCCCCCCCCCCACTCAATTCAGGCTGCTCCGCTCCCCAAAGGGTCGCCCGGGGGCGCTCAGAGGGATGCTCCCGCCGGGGTCCCCCGAGGCTTCCAGCCTGCCCTCCCGAGGAGGAGAAGGGGGGGGGGTCCCCTGCGGAACCCCCTTCCCGGGTAGTAAAAGCGGGGGGGGGAGCGCAGGGAAAGCCCTCCCCCCAAAAGATGCGCCCCCCCTTTCCCTGCCCAGGTGGGGGGGGCTTCTCCCAAAGAGACCCGGGACCCCCGAGGCCGCCCCCTCCGCCCCCCATTTCCAGGGCAGGGGGGGCCCCGCCCGCGAAAGCGAAAGCAGCCGCACGAGCGACCCACCTGCGCCAGAAGCAGCAGCGGCGGCAGCGGCGCCCCTCGGCCGCCCGGCCCCGGCTGCCCCCCCGCCCCCGCGCCGCCCAGCGCCGTCGGAGGAGCCCGGCCGGAGGAGGAGGACGAGGAGGAGGAGGCGCTTCGACGCCGACCCGGCCCGACGACGCCTCCCTGGCGGGCGAGAGGCGGAGGCGGAGGCGAGAGGAGGAGGCGCCTGGGCTCGCCTGGAAGGAGCGGACGGCCGGGCGAAGGGAGGAAGGAGCCGGCGGGGAAGGGCGGCCAAGAGGCGCCCGGGGCCGCTTTCGGCTCTTCCTCCGGAGGGGCGGGGAGAAATGGGGGCCCGGGGTGGGGGTGGGTGGGGGGGAGACACAGGTGCTTCTCACCTGTCCACGCTTGGAACCGGCCGCGGGCGTGGGAAGCCGTCGGGGACCCGGCTGGGAAGCTCCATTGAGGGGGGTGGGGGGGTCCTTCTGTTTGCAGGGCGTGGAAAGCCCCCCCCCCCCCCGCCCCGCATTCCACGACCCGGGGCTGCCAAGACCTGGAGACCCCCCCCGGGGAATTTGCCCCCCCCCCACCAATACCTGCCTGGGAAAAGACGCGGCCCTAAGCGAACGTGCGAAGCCTCGGAGCGGATGCGGGCAGAGGAGGGTCAGGCCGGGGGCCTTGGAGGGGGAGGAGGAGGAGGAGGAGGGAGGGGTAAAGCGGAGCAGGAGGCGCGGGACTCACACTCTCTTCCCGACGCCAAAGCCACGCGGTCAGCGCCCTCTGCGGAGGAAGGGGCAGAGGGAGGATATCAAGCCGTGTCCTCTCCTCCCCCTCTTCCCCAGGGAAGGGTCCTCAGCTTGGGAAGGCCAGGCTCCCGCAGGAGGGGGCTCCAACCTTGGCAACTGTTGAGTTTGGGGTCTTCAACTCCCAGAATTCTGGCTGTTTGGATTCCACGGGTCTTAAAGCTGCCAAGGTTGGAGCCCCCTGCCCTACAGCCCACTCAGTTGCAAAGGCCAAGACGGAAGCCCCCCCCTGAAGCCCTCAAAGACGGGGCCAACTTCCTTTTTGCTGTTTGTCCAAGGAGCCAGAAAGTCGTTTAAAAATAACATAAAATGAGGGCAGCAGAGCCGGCTCCTCCAAAGCTCTTCGCCTTTCTTTTATTTTAATGGCACCAGGATGAAAATTAAGAGCTCTGTTTAACCCGGGAACCGGCCTTCGGCCTTCGTAAGCTGGGTAGCCTTAAACGAAGGCACTGCCTGCATCTTCGGAAGGCAGGGCGGGAAGTCACATTTCTTGGTGTCCTCTTGTTCACGCGGCCCGATTGCCGGGCAGGTTAATGGCTCAGTTATTCACTGAATTCGGTGAAGAAACTCTCAAAAACTGGCCAACCTTAATGCATTGGACAATTGCAGTTGGGTGTAAGGCGAAAAAATAAATCAGATTTTGGTTCCGTATGCTGGATGAGACTAAGTGGGACTTGGTTAAAACACGCAACACAACAGACACACACTCACACACACCCAAAAACCAACTGCAGGGAAATTGCTATCTGTCTGGCTTTGTTTTCTCTAGTCTTTATGGGGTCTCTTAAGCCAACCTTTCTCAATTTAGGCCAGTTTTAAGTATGGGAGGCTTACAATGCTCGTCAAGGCACACTTTGTCGTTTGATAAGCTTGCTTTGAAGGATTTTGCACACTCCTTTAAATATATATACCTAGATATTTAAAGGAGTGTATATATTATATATTATATATTATATATTATATAATATATAATATATATTATATATTATATATATATTAAAGGAGTATATATAAAGGAATATATATATTCAAAAGAATATATATATATATTTAAAGGAGTATATATATTTAAAGGATATAAACTGCAAAATTATTAAATATATTAAACATACACAGTATATTGCAAATCTGCTCTTAATGCTTTTGCTCTTAAGTGTCCTTGCAAATGAATCCATGTGGCTCAAGCGCCATCTAGTGGCCGGATCGATAACTAGCTTGAGCCCATTCAAGGGCTAGTCTGTAACCTTGGCAACTTTAGGACTTGTGGACTTCAACTCCCAGAGTTCCTCAGCCAGCATGCACTGGCTGAGGAATTCTGGGAGTTGAAGTCTTCAAGTGGCCAAGGTTGGAGAGCCCTGGTTTAGGGAGATTCTCCACCATCCAGGTCACATTTGTCCCAAAGGTGCTTTTTTCTTTTTTCAAGAGGCACCTGGACTTCCTGTTTTTTCTTTGAAGACGTTTCACTTCTCATCCTTCTTAGGCTTCTTCGGCTCGAAAGAAGAACTGAACTGAGAACTGAAGAAGCTTCTCGGATGAGAAGCGAAACGACTTCCAAGAACAGAAGTTGTGTGAGCTTCATCCCTGGAGGCTTTCAAGAAGAGACTGGACTTTATAGTAAAGAAAAAAAACATACTTACTTATACATGTATTAACAGCAGCTAGGATCATATTTGCTCAAAACTGGAAAAGTGATAAGATACCGATAGAAGGAAAAATAATTGAAAAAATATTTGAATGTGCAGAAATGAATAGATTAACATTAGAAATTAAAGAAAAAGAAGAATCTGGATATTACATGGTACGGGACTTGTTTTATCAATGGCTAGAAAATAAAATTAATTAAAAGGGATTAGACATCATTATAAAGCAATAAGAGAAACTAGTGTAATAGATATACTGAATATTACTTATATATATGGGAACGTGATTATTATTATATGGTTCTACTGTTAAGAAGAATATTATTAGTAATTGTTAAGCACGTGAAATATGTACCTAATCGACACACCATTGAAATGGAATGGATTTATTGTATGTTAAAATAATAATAATAATAATAACAACAACAACAACAACAACAACAACAACAACAACAACAATAATCTGGAAGAAGAAATTGGGACCGCCATGTGTCAGAAATGGTGTAGGTAGGGTCTCCTGCTTGGGCAGGGGGTTTGACTAGATGACCTTACAAGGTCCCTTCCACCTCTGTTAATCTCTTAAAAACCGGAAAGTCCAGGTGCCTCTTGGGAAGGAAAACAAAAACAAAACCAACCAACCAACCACCTTTGGGGCCACAGGTGAGCGCCTGCCGAGAGATTTCCGCGGGGGGCGTTTGAAAGGCGGCGCGCGAGGGAGAAGGGAAGGCCCGCCGGGGGGCTCCGCGGCTTCTCCCAGCGGCCAGCCCGGGGCGGGGCGGGGCGGGGCGGGGCAGGGCAGGGGGCTCTCCAGGCCTGCCTGGAAGGAACCGGAAGGCCGGGGGCGGCCAGAGGCGAAGCCAGCCCAGCCTCCCCCTTCCCAGCGCTGGAGGAGGCGGCGCTCGGGACAAAGGGAAGCGGCGCGCGGGGCGCTGAAGCCGCCGGAGGAGCCCCCGCGGAGGCGGGCAGGTGAGGGCGGGCAGGTGAGGCGGGGGGGCTCCCGGTTCCTTTCCAGCCAGCCCCGCGGGGACTCCGGGCCGCCCCCCCCGGAGGGTCTGCTCAGCCCCGAAGCGCCCCTTGCCAAAGAAGCGGGCTGGGCTAGGAAGGCGCTCGAGCCCGCGAGCCCAGCGAGCCTTGGTCGGGGGAGGCGGCTGGGAGAGCCCCTCCGGAAGGTCCAGGCGTGGGGGTGGGATGGTTTCTGCAGAAAAGCCCCCCCCCCCGCGTCTTCCTCCCCACCCCGGAGACCCTCTCTGGTGGGCTCCCAGAGGGCAGCTCCATGCTGGGCAGGGAAGGGAAGGGGAGTGGGGGGAGTTGGGAAGGGGCTCTGCTTTTGCCCACCGCCCCAGATTGGGGGCGTGGGGGGGGGCAGCGGGTTCCCCCAGGTCTGGCCTTTCCAGGTCTCCCTCCTCTCTTGTTCCTCCTCGCAGTGGTTTTTGTCCAGGTGGGGGAGAGCGTTCTGGGCTCAAGGGATGCCAGCGGATACCCAAAGGCCACCTAGAAGTAGAATTGAGGGGACCCTCCCCCCCCTCCCACTCCTCTGAGCTGGCTTTGATTTTCTCCCATTTCCAGCCGCCGGACCCAAATCAGAACGTGGCCAAAGACATTGGGGTGGAGAACTTGGGGTGCTGTGATACGAGTTGCTGACGGAAAGAGAGGAGTTGGGAGAAAAGCCCCCACCCAGAGAGGCCCGTTATTTTCGCAGCAGGCACACCAAACAGGATGCCCTTCCGGGGGGGGGGGGGTGTAAATTAGGCTGCAGAATTGCACACCGGGGCCAGGCAGGTGACCACCGGGAAGGGAGGACCCCAAATTCAAGATTTTGGCCTCCTGCCCACGTCTCTCCCAGAAAAATTCTCTTTGGTGCCTTTCCTGGTTCTTTCCAGCGGAGTTTTAAGAAGGAGAACGGGGACCCCCTACACACCCCTCTCCTAGGAAGGCCGGTGGCAGCACCTTCTCCCCCCCCTGAAAAACATGGACTTCTGAGTTTTGGGCTCTGCCAACCGGCTCTCACTTATCCTGGTTTGTTGCACCCCTTCTTCTGGATTGGTTCCACCACCACCGACCCACGTGACCCAATTGTGACTGCTGTGCCCACAATATTCTTCCACCGGGCCTTTTCTTGAGCGGTGCTGGGAACCAGATGGTGCCTGTGTGCCCAACACACTCCCCGAAAACACAGGCGGCCGTGGAAAGGCAACCTCCTCGCCAGATTTTGAAGGGTTGCCACCTTAGCTTGTCGGTGGGATACACGATCTCAGCCGCTGGGGCTTCAGAGGCATGTATGGCGTTGGCAGCGTGTGTGTTTTCGGTCCTGCAGGCGCCTCGGTGCCAGGCACGTGTTGCAACTGTCAACCAAGTGGTTTCCTTCCAAACAATGAAGTTGGCAGCTGTTACTTTGGAAGAGGATAAGTGTGGGTGGCAATGACTCGGTTGGTTCCGTATGGGCAGGAGCGGTCAGACCTGATGAGCAACTCCGGCCGTGTTGATTTCCGTCGTCTGTCCGCATCGTCCTTTTAAAATGGTCTGAAGGGGGCAACTAGCCGGCCAGGGCTCTGCTTTGCTTGCTGGTCAGATTTGATGGAGCCGCCGTTTCCCCTCTTGGTCCTGAGGCCGTCACTGCCCTTAGATGGACCCAGGGCCCTGCATTTATTTATTTGCCTTTATTCCCCTTAAGGTGCCAGATGTACTGTATAGAACTCTCCTTCCTCTTCCTACATCGCCCTATGAGATGGGTTGGGCTGGCAGTCACCCAGCCGGCTTTCGTGGCTAAGGCAGGACTAGAATTCACCATCTCCCAGTCTCTAGGCCCAGCACTATACCGAACAGGGCTGTGTGGTAAACTTCCTTGGCTTCGATAAATCCACCTTTGTGGAGGTTTATTTGATGACAAGGGAGAATCTGGGAGCAGAGGTAAGAAAGAGGGCCAGCTGTAGGATAGCTGGACTTCAACTCCCAGAATTCCCCAGCCAGCAATTCTGGGAGTTGAAGTCCAGACACCTTAAACTGGCCATGGCAGAGAAACACTGCAATAGATGCCGCCATTTTGAGACCGGTAAGGCCCCAAGTGGCCCTTGGCGTCAAAGATGGCTGCCGGGACCCACTCCTCTTTCTCGCTTCTCCTTCCCAGGGACGCCCACCATGAAGCTGAATGAAAGGAGCCTCTCCTTCTACGCCACCTGCGCCTCCCCGGCCGACCACGTCGGCTTCCTGCACAAGAAGGGCGAGCGGAACACGGCCTACCACCGGCGCTGGTTCGTGCTGAGGGGGAACATGCTCTTCTACTTTGAGGAGCGGGAGAGCCGGGAGCCCGTGGGCGTCATCGTTCTGGAGGGCTGCACGGTGGAGCTGTGCCAGGCCAGCGAGGAGTTCGCCTTCGCCATCCGGTTCGACGGCCCCAAGTCCCGCACCTACGTGCTGGCGGCCGAGAGCCAGCCCGCCCTGGAGCGCTGGGTCAAGGCGCTCTCCAGAGCCAGCTTCGACTACCTGCGCCTGGTGGTGAGAGAGCTGGAGAAACAGTTGGAAGAGATGCAGGCGGCCGTCCCGGGCGCCCAGCCGGGCCCGAGACGGCAGCGGCTGCTGCATCGCAAAAACAAAACGGCTCCCAATTTGGAACTGGCTGCCCTGCCGCGGGAGAAGCCAGCCCTGCCCGTTGGCGTCCCCGGGAAAGAGAACGGCTGTGCCTTATGGAATAACTCGGAGGCCTCGGCCAGCTGGTCTCCTGCCTGCAGAGGGGTAAACTCCTATAGCACGGCCAAGAGCTACGACGGGGGGCTCAAACCGCCACCGTTGCCCCCTCGTAGGCGGTCACTGCCGAGCAGCTCCGGTGGGCTGAGCTCAGACAGCCCACCCTCTCCAAGTGGCGTGTGTTTCTCCCAATTGCATGGTTGGTACGGCCAGGAGATCGTGGCGTTGCAGAAGGCCTGGCTGGAGGGCCAGGAGGGGGAGGAGAGCAGCCTTTGAAACCCCCCAGGGGTGGAGAGGCGGTTCCTGGAAAAAGTGAACCGGCTGAGGCTCAGCCACTCTTGGAAAACCCAGCAAGGCCGTCTGGCAGATGAGACTCCGGGAAACTTCGGTCTGCCGATAGCCCCCTTCTGTGATTCATGGAAAAATCATGGCCGGTGCCAGCTCACATCCTTCCCCCTTCCTCCAACCCCCACCCCTCCTCACCAGGCCAAACTTTTTAGCTCCTGGAGGCCTCCACCGTTCAGGGATCGCGATGAGATGTTGGTGGAAACCAGAAAAAGGTTTTCCTCTGGAAACACTCACAGGCCCAGGAAGCAAAGTAACCGAAGTGAGCCAGGAGCCTCTTTCGATCCCTGGACGCACAGAGGGTTGGGAATCCAGCGAGGAGGTCCGCACATACGATAAACGGCGTGTATTCTTACAATCAAGAAACGAAGGGACTGGAACAGTTCAGCCTCCTCCTTCCAAAGGTGCAACGCCATCTTCTCTTTGCCTAACTAACTAACCCTTGTCAGCATTTTCTTACCTGGAAGAGGAGCCTCTTCGGCCGCCGCCATTTATAATGGAGAGCTGCTTTCCCTGGAAAATTTGCTTTATTCGTTCTGCGGGACAGGAGTGGATAAAAGCAGCCGTTAACTCGGAGGCCCAAACCTTGAGCGCAATAAACGGGAGACATCAGGCCGAGGTGTTATAGAATTTCTGTATTTTCCTTTTTTAACGGCTCTTTACAGAACGTAATAGGCCTTTTTTCAGTATTTAACAAACTCCGGTCAATCTTGTAGAAATTGTTTCAAAGTACAGTACAGGCGCCTAGAAAAAGGGGAACTGACGCACCTCGCCAGGTTCGAACACAACCGGTCTCTCTCAAGGGTGGAGAACCAACACTTAAGTGCTTCGTTAAAAATAATAATAAGAATAATCCTGTCCCATTAAAACTAATCTCGAGCTTTTGGTGAAGAAGAATCCCTGGATCCCACTCCACATTTTATTTGGATAGATAGAAGTTGATTTTGTTCAGGGGTTTCTAGGCAAATGACATTTCCAGGTTCTTTCGGCGGATAGACCAAACTGGGTGAAATAAACATTAAATATATAAAAATACTTTCAGTTCTGATTTTAAAAATGCACATAATGGGAAGGCCAAACATATATATATATTGGGGTGTGTGGGGGAGGTAACTGGTTTCTCTTTCCCTGTTTGTAAATTAGATTCAAAAGGGTTTTATCGCATCTGTGGGAACAAATCAATGGGTGGGTGAAAAGCGTGAGGAGATCACTCCATTAAAAGCAGGAGAAGACGGGGGGCCACCGTTAGGGTCTCTTTTCTTCAAATAATGAAAACTTCCATCGAACGAAGAAACCTGCTAGTTCGAAGACAGTCCCACCAGCTCTTCATCTAGTTTGGAGATAAAAGTCAAGTGGATGGGAATTACTTAAATAATCCAGGACCAGCTTCCTCCCCCAAACTGGCTATTTCCATCCTTCCTTCTTTCTGGCACGGAAGAGGGATCCAGAGAAGGCCTTGGGAAGCGGAGAGGAGGAGGAAGAGGGCCTGGATTTAATCTTCACCTTTTCTCCCACGCTTTGAATTAACGTGGGTGGGGTGAATTCATACCGTTATTATTAAATGTATTTGCTGCTACTCCAAGGAGAAAACATTTCTGTTCTCTTTTAGTGCTCCGGGTCAAAAAGGTGTCAAAATATCTGCTTTCCTCCAACCCTGAAATGTTGAACTAAGCAGGCAGGGACTATTTTCATGCTTTTTTAAAAAAAGTGTCGTAATTCTCTTTCAAGCAGGGGCGTCCAACCTTGGCCACTTTAAGACTTGTGGATGTCAACTCCCAGAATTCCTCAGCCAGCTTGGAAGTTGAAGTCCACAAGTTTTAAAGTGGCCAAGGTTGGACGCCTCTGCTTGAAAGTTTTCTCTGGCGGAAACCAGAGTCGTAACAGATGGTTCCATTTAGCAAATGCACCTTTTTTGAAACTAAAGGATGCTTTTTAAGTGGGGGAAAAAAACACCCCTTTCTGGATGGGATTGTAAAGGCGAGAAAGTCATTCTCTGGAATCGGGGTACCTCTTGTTCAACAAGGCCCTTGAAAACATATTTCCACACAATCGCATGCAACACCTCTCTCTTTTTTTCTGTGTTGCCTCAAAAAGAAAGACAGACAAAATAAAAAGGAAAGGAACATACCACTCAAACTAAATAGCAGACTCAAGAGGGCACCGCAGGTTCCAAATTTAGAGTCTTCATGGACTACAAGAGAACCGTTTCTTGACAGGTGGAGTAGAACGAAGTCTTACAGACAAACGCAGCGTCTGCCAATCAAGTTTAGTAACGTTTTGGTCAGTCTCATAGTGCTTCTTGATGGCTTGGATCAATGAGCCAAGGTTCCTATTTTTTATTTTATTTTAATATTTTTTTTTCTCTTTAATCTCATCCAGTGGCAAACTACAAGACTTTCAGTGGGCATTTAATGATACAACTGATACAGTTTATCTTTTAATATCAAAGCAGCTTGAGCTGTTAATAAATTCCAAAGTTTCCTTTTATTAAAATATCTAAAAGAGGTCTATAAATATTATTTTAATATTTTTTCCTTCTAAAAGTGTTCTCAGTTTGTTCCTGTGTGTCTGTTTTCACATTTAAAACCCCCAAAATTCGGTTTTAGGTTACCTTCGGAGCTAAGAAAGAGCAGCGATCTCTCGTGTTCGAGAAAATGCAGCCGATTTTGTCTCTTCCTTAGACTTGATGAAATTAATAAAATATGTGTGTTTGTGTGTTTATATATATATATATATGTATATATATATATATATATATTTATAGATCTGGTTTTTTTTTTCTATACACTCTGCTAAGGACTCCCTGTTTTTGTCCACGTGTTCCGTGGAGTTTAGAACCTGGACAACGTTATTTAGGTATTGGGTTCTGACAAGTTTCTTTTTTCCGTTCAGCCCTTCAAAATTCCCACTCCAGAGTCTCCTCGCGATTGGCAGCTCTTTCCAGCCGGTGAATTATGCTGTTGAGGTTAGCCACTTTCTCGTTCCGCCGCTGGGTGTTTGTAGTCAGTTTTGCGCTGGGTGGCGCCGTGGTGCCTGTATCTGCGGCTGGGCTGGCACTCTGCCCTTTGGTGGCCGCCACGCTCACCGGCAAGGGGGAAATGGGAGCGGAGGAGGATGGGACAGGGGAGACGGACATGAGGAGTCCCGGTGAGGAGGCGGCGGATGGAGAGGTTAGAGAAACTTCCAGGCTGCAACGGGAGGACTCGGAGGCGGATTTAAAGCTGACGGGGTCCGAGGGAGACCTCTCGCGGCCTTCGGTCTCCACGGGGTTATGGAAACTGGAATAGTTGTGAGCCCCGTGCAGGTGTGTCTTGCTACGTAGGGTGCTGGCCCAGGTGAGGCTGGGAGGTTTGTGTGGGCCCACGCAGCCAGGCTCTTCTGGGTCTTCCGTGGGGCTGGATGCAGATACGGGCTCTAACTCGCCTTCTGGACAACAACAATCTCTACTGCTGACTCGGTCGTCTTTGTCGCCAGCTTCCAGCTGCTCCTCCTTGATTTCCACCAGCGCTTTGCATTCTCCTTGGCACTCCACGTTTCTGAAGGTGGGTTTTTGCTCCTCCCCTTCTGAGTCGGGGCTCTGGGGCTGGGCCCCCTTGAGCAAAGGGCCGGCGGGGGTCACGCTCTGCTCGGCATCTGTGTCGTCCTGGCTGCCTTCCATTAGCATCTCTCGGCGCATCCGAGACCTGCCGAGGAAAAAGGCCAGGGGTTCTTGCAACCACAGGAGACACACACACCCCCACCCCCCCAAAAAAAATCCATCAACAAGAAAGACAGACACCAGGCTAACGTAGCTCAGGAGGTTGAGAGCTTCTTGAGTTGCCTCAACTCCTGGACTGGGTTTGCACAACACAGTTAACCCCTCCTGTTAAAGACCAGTGGGCCGCTTTCTTGCAACAGGGCAAGCTTGGTGTTTTGCTGGGTTGTCCCCCGATTCTGCATTTGCACCCAGAAAATGATTTCATTTAGTAGGCAGAAGTGGGTGATTGCGTACAGAGCCATGATAGGGATGTAGAAAAAAAATGTATTTTTTTTCCCTGAAAGTTAGTGGACTTTATCAAGGGCAGAAAAATCTGAGGGCGAGGCCAACACTGCAAATGCGAAAGCACAACATTAATACTCGAGTAGCCTAGAAGGTTTTGTGGTTGTGTTCACACCTAACCAGTATGTAGTGCTACCTTTCATCGGTCATGAACTATCTGACACAACAGCTCCTCCCTAGCACTCCCCAGAGTATAGTTATAGTTCTACAACTAGTTGCTTTAGTCTGGCAAGATTCTGTCTAAAGGTGAAGGTGAAGGTGAAGGTGAAGGTGAAGGTGAAGGTGAAGAAGAAGAAGAAGAAGAAGAAGAAGAAGAAGAAGAAGAAGAAGAAGAAGAAGAAGAAGAAGAAGAAGAGGAGGAGGAGGAGGAGGAGGAGGAGGAGGAGGAGGAGGAGGAGG